GTGTTTCGTTGGCAGGCGTTCCACGAGGAGTACTCGCGGCTCTACCTGCTTTCCAAAGAGACCCCGACCCCTCAGAACGATGCCCGGCTGCAGCACGTCCTCATTTACTTCCTGCAGAACAACGCTCCCCAGCAGGTGGTGGAACGGACCCTGCTTGAGCAGTTTGCAGACAAAAACCTGAGCTACGACGAAAGGTTCGTGCCGTGGACTCCGAGGTGAGGCTTTTCTCGTCCGGAAGCAGGCGGGAGCGTTGTTCTGATGTCGCTCGTCTCTCCTTACACGGAGCAGGTCAATTAGCATTATGAAGGTGGCACGAGCAAAGCTGAGAGAAATCGGTCCTGACGATGTCGATATGGCGGAGTACAAGGTAAGGGAGCAGCGGGCCGCCCTGGTCCGTCACCGCCCAAAGCGGCGTGTGGGAAGCGGGGAGTGCGGCGCGGAGCAAACGCAGGTTGTCGCTCGTGAGAGGTGTTTAAACCCTTCACAGGGTAACACCTGATACGCTTTGGAGTTGCGAGGAATGTGGAGCGCGCGTGTGCGGGTCACGGGTGAAGCTGACGCTCTGCTTTCTTGCTGCTCCTCGACAGCGATGGCACGAAGACTACAGCCTGTTCCGCAAGGTGTCGGTTTACCTGCTGACGGGGCTGGAGCTGTACCAGAACAGAAAGTGAGTGGCTTGTGGTGGAGCGTTGGGGCCGGGTCAGCTGCAGCCGATAAGTAAAGGCCGCTTGGACAGAACTCCTGCTTCCTGACCCGTGACAGCCGGTTCGCGTTCAGCCTTGTAGTTGAGGCCAGCCAGTCCTGTTTGACTCGCTGGTTGCGCCTCCCCGCTCAGCCCTGGTTAGCAGTTTGAGCCCTGTGCCGAGGCGCCGGCCAGCCCTCCGTCTGCTGCTCGGTCCCGCTCGGCAGCAGAGCTTTGTAGTCTCATTTCCAGAGGTGTGTTTGCAGGAATGACTGCCGTCGCTTTCTTTTTTTCCCCCCTTTGGACTCCGGTATTCAGATTAAATTGTCTTGAAGTGGACACAATCCTGTGTGTAAACACATGCCCTGGAGTACTCTAGCCTCTTAAGAAGGGCCTGGGTTTTTCTCCCTGCTGTTTCAGCCCCTGTATTTTATGTAAGTAGTGCAGTGTGGAGAGGGACGGTGCCATTTTAGGAAGGGCTGGTAATTTGAAAAGTGACTTTTCCAATCCGGAGAATAAACTGGCTTTCAGAAAGTACTCACGGATGGAAACAGAGCTGGATTCTGACGTGGGTCCCAGTGACGAGCCACCAAATTCAGGTGGGCAAACGGACAGGAGGCTGGGCCAGAGCGCCTTAGATGGTCCCCGAGTTGTCCCTGTCAGCTGTTCTGCGTTCCCATTGGGGCTGTAGAAGCCACAAGCACAGGTAAAGGAGCTGCAGACATCACCTTCTGCACTTCTGTGAGCGTCCTCTCAAAGCGAGAGGTTCCCACAGCAACGCAGAAGGCATCGGCGCTGGCGTTCGCGCTCAGGCTGTTGTACACAAGCTTGGCTTTAAAGGGCTCTTCCCAAGGTGCTTGCTGGGCCCGCTGGGCCAAAAGGAACGCTCGTTCCTCGACCTAGGGCATCAGTTTGTTTCTGCTTTGGTGAGGAAATGCAGTTTCTCCCATGGGGCCTGGCGCTGGTTACCGTTCTGGTCGAGCGGAAGATGGTTCCTGAGCTGCCAGGAGTGACGGTGCTGCAGCTGTGAGGCTGGCGAGCTGACCCTCTTCTCCTAGGTACCAGGAGTCGCTCACCTACCTGGTCTACGCCTACCAGAGCAACACCAAGCTGCTGCTGAAGGGAACCAACAGAGGCGTCAACGAGTCCCTCATCGCCTTGTACAGAAGGAAGTGTCTCCTGGTCTGTACTGAGCGGCTCTGCGCTCCTTCTGGGGGCGGAGGAGGGGAGGGCAGGGAGCAGCCTGGGCGACCTCGGCTCCCGTGGTGCAGCTTGCTTACCGGCTGCTCGGTGTGCGTTGCCCGGGGAGTCGGACCGTGCCGTGTCCCCTGTCAGGAGCACGCTGAATTGACGTGCTGCGTTTCTGGGGCAGGTCCAGATGCTGCTGAGCGTGCTCTTGGGTTTTAACTCGGTGCTCACGTTGTTAACTCGGTGGCTGCGTCGTTTTCTGTCCATTCGCTGCCTTCCTCCCCAGTATTTATTTCTAATATTAATGGCTTTCTCTGAGCGAAAGGTGATCTCCTTATCCACGGGGGAAGGCAAAAAAGTAGCGTAAAAATGAGATTTGGTTTTAGTTCATGCTCCAGGGCTGCCAAGAGCAGTGTAACTGTCTCTCTTGTGCCTACGACCATGGCTTCTGCCCCTTGGC